CATTTGAATCAACTTTTCTTCTTCAAAGCGGGAGAGCTTGTTGGGAATTATCACCAAAATAGTTTCCTCTTCTCCTAGATATACATGCTTCAGATGATTTGACAAAGGTTTCGTTTTCAATTTTGGTGCCTGCATAAGAGAAGGAAGAAGCTTGGTGTGAGAAAGAGATGACTCAATATAAGATACATCATACTTCATAGGTTTGAGTGATTCTAGTTCTTGGATTGTATCTTGCAAATCAAGATCCAATACATACTCTTTCATGATTCCTTGCAATCCTTCAGGAGTGAAATTCATGTTGAGTGCAACTTTCAACTTGTCATCATTATTTAAATAAAAAATTTCCTGCGCTAAAGGGTCAATAACATCCATGACAAAAACAAAGGACACATCACCAGGACATCTCATGGCATCATAAATATTGAATTTAATAATTTCACCATGACAAAAATCAATTCATTGACTTGCACCAAAACATCCTCTAAAACTCCCTCAGGATATACATTAGATCTGTCAGCTAGTTGAATAATCACTCCTGTCTCTTTCAAAGGACCAACGTTCAAAAATGAGTAAATAGAGAGAGGCATGACATATATTGAAGCTCCTAGATCTAACATTGCTCTCTCAATCCTAACATTACTAAGTTTACAAGGGATAGTAAACATACATGGGTTTTTGCACTTGGGGGGTAGTTTTTTCTGGAGGACAGCTGAAACATTCTCCCCCATACTTACCTTTTCATTTCCCTTGAGCTTTCTCTTGTTGGTGCACAATTCTTTAAGAACTTTAGCATATCGAGGTATTTGTTTAATTGCATCAAGTAAAGGAATATTTACCTCGATCTTGCGAAATGTCTCAAGAATTTCTTTCTCTTCTGCTTCCTTCTTGGATTTAGCGAATCTAGAGGGAAAAGGAGGTTCTATGACAAATTCTTTATGTTTTTCGCTTTTGAGTCCTTTAGGTTGGTCTTTCTGAGTTTGAGGAGCAACAACTTCCTTTTCAGCTTTTTCCTCTAAGGCTCTCCCATGTGCCAATGGACTAGGTTCCTTCAACTCCTTTCCACTTCTCAATGTGATTGTACTAACGTTTTGTTTTGGATTAACAATGGTTTGTGAAGGTAACTTACCTTAGGATTCTAACCAATTCACGGATTATGCCAATTGACTCACTTGATTCTCCAAATTTTGTATGCTTGTTCTTGTCTCTTGTTGAAATTGTTGTGTATTGGTTACAAGTGATTTGACAATTTCTTCTAGGGACATACCCGACTTTGAAGAAGACTGCTCAGGTGGAGAACGCTGGAATTGCGATGGTCTTGGTCCATAGCTAAGGTTAGGATGATCCCTCCATCCTGGATTGTAGGTATTTAAGTAAGGATCATATTTCCTTTGTGGGGGATCGAGAAACCTTCCAACTGCATTAGCGTACTCATGAGAATCATCTTGAAGTGTAGGACACATGTCAGTTGGGTGACCGATCGCAGCACATATCCCACAAGCTTTCACTTGCTGCGTTTTTCCTACAACTAGTTGTTGAAAAAGGGAGGTGAGATGCGATAATTGATGTTCAATGGAGGACGAACCTACCTCGTTCACCCTTCTTGAAGATGTGTCTTGCCTAAAGCCAAATTGTTGTGAATTGGCGGCCATGATGGAGATCAATTCCCTAGCATCGTGAGGAGTCTTATTCACTATGGCACCTCCACTGGTTGCATCCATCATCTTCCTTTCCATGGGTAGAAGTCCCTCATAGAAATATTGGATGAGAAGTTGCTCAGAAATCCCATGTTGAGGGCAGCTTGCACACAGTCGTTTGAATCGTTCCCAATACTTGTGAAGGGTCTCAATATCTTTTTTTTTTTGTTCCACATATCTCCCTTCGAATGCCAGCGGCTCTTAAAGCAGGGAAAAATTTATCAAGGAACATCATCACCATCTCGGCCCAAGTAGTTACAGAACCAGGGGGTAAATAGAAGAGCCAATCTTTAGCTCTATCGGTTAGCGAGAACGGAAAAGCGCGCAGTTTTACCTACTCTTCGGTCACTCCTTGTGGTCTCATACTTGAACATACCACATGAAATTCCTTCAAATGCTTATGAGGATCTTCATTCTCAAGTCCATGAAAAGTAGGCAACAAATGAATCAAACCAGATTTTAATTCAAAAGCTACCTCCAAAGTTGGATAGTCAATGCAGAGCGGTTGTTGATTCACATTTGGTGCAGCCAATTCTCTTAGAGTTCTTTCTTCGTTGGCCATTGTTCCTTCTACTTCAGAATCGCTGGATGAATCAACCAAGTTGAGTGCATTTCGATTCAGGGGATGAAGAATAAGAAGCTTGTTTGTTGCGCAAGTTAGTTTCTTTTCTTAACCTACGAGCGGTCTTCTCGATTTCAGGATCGTATTGGAGTTCACCTGCACGAGAAGAACGGGGCATCAAAATAAATCTAAATAACACCAATCCCCGGCAACGGCGCCAAAAATTTGGTGGGTGTCGAATCCAACAAAAAATAATACTTGCTTTAGAAATATAAATTTGTAGTAGTGATAAACAAGGTCGAATCCACAGGGATTGAGTAGACTTATTTTAATGAAAAGTAAAGCAAATAAAAGGGGTTTCAGAATTGAGAAAAAATTAAAAAGAAAAAGCATTTGAAATCAACCAAAAATTTAGAGAGATTAATATTAAGGAAATATCCAACTAAAGGTATAATTTCAGAATTGGTTCAGAGAATTGATCATAGATGCAATGATAAAATCTTCTACTTTTCACTAAATTGGTTATGGTTATTGAGAAGCTCTAACAACCTGTCTCTCCTTAGTTTCTCGATAATCAAGAGAAGCTCTTTGATTATTTCCCTAGTTAATGAACAACCCTAGACAAGCTCTTAAGATTTAATCCACCAACATCACTAATTTATAGAGGGACCACCAATTCTAGCCAACGAATACACAAGCTCGATTCATTTAGACTAGGTTATATACCTTCATAACATAATCATAATCAACCATGTTACTTTACCACTAATATTAGAACGTTTAAACAATTACGGATTTAAAGTTCTAAATGACAATTTATCAACCTGATAATTGAACAACAGATCCTTTGCACAATCAATCAAGACAATAATTCTTAATAAAAACAGAAGATATATAAATAGCAAAGAAGTAAAAGAACAATGAAAATTATTTAGATCTCACAATCCTTGAAGAACCAAAACTTCAATTATCCTCTAGTTGGAACAAAAGTATTTAGCTACTCATAATTGAAAGAAAACTAAAAGAAAATAAAGATGAAAACTGATGTAAAACTTGATGATCAACTAATGAAAGCCCTAGCTCCCCTTTTATAAGGATTTTCCTATTATAGATAATGAAGTTTCCCTTAAAGAAAATCCCACAAAAATAGGAGTTTTAAATGCCCTCATCTTTTTCTAAAGATAAGAATAAATCAAAAGAGTCTTCCAGCCGTCATTAAACTCTTTTTCATTTGTAAATTTGTAGCCATAATTTAAGGTTACATGGACTAGTAAGGCGCGCCCACGCCTTAACTGAAAATTTCTTCTGCGGTAGTTCAAGATGAATAAGCCGTGCCCACGCCTTATGCGAAAACCTCTTCTGGTATTGCCAACTTCTTGAATTCCGATTTTTCCTCCTTAATTTGGGGATTTTGTGAATATCATGCTAATCATTAGATTTTGAACTTATTTTATCCAAATCTTCAACCTAATCCACAAAATACAAAATATAATCAAAATCCATGATTTAAGCAATTTTAGTTATTCAAATGAGGAAAATATCATAGAATATATGTCTAATATGCATCTTATCAAGTATTTATAGATTCGGATTCGAAACATGACACACAAAGAAATAATTGGGTGTTATGTCTAGAATTCGAATCTTTGAGCACGTACCTGCTCTTGGCATTTTGCTTCTTCCTCGCCATCATTTGAAGGATCAGTGCAGGGTAGAAAACTTTCACCCACCTTCTTCGGAATGCAAATATTTGCTATTGACTTCTCACTCACGGTTAAAAGAAATGATATGAAACCCAGCAGCATTAGTTCTAGAGTGAAAACGTCAAAGTCACGTAAAAGGAAGATAATTAAGATTGTATAGCAAAATGTTTCATTTAATCGGGATACTTTCTCACCGGATTTTATCTTATCAAGAGCCTGAATCAGATATTTCCTTCGTTTCTTATTGAAATACTGAAAAGTTCACACCCCCAAAGACAAACCATGAATATCGGGGCTGGAAGAGAGTGATTTATATAAGATAAAGTGATAAACCCTTCATCTTCTTGCATGGAAACATACCTTGGCCAAGAGATGAAGCAAATGCTCAATAAAAAAGGAAACCAAAATCGAGAGGAAAACAACAGTGGCAACAGCCCATGTCGGGGTTGACACAATTGTCGCTGCCGTCGTTGTTTCTTCCTCTCCCGCCATATCTTGTTTGGTTTTTGTTATTTTGAAACACCTAGACTGTGTTGTTTCTGGAAATAATATAGGAGCCAATATGTAGGAAACAAACAACAGCACTGGCTGCTGTGTTAGTCAACATACGGGTGGTGTTGTGGCCCAGTGATTTAAATTCTGTGACGGTGAATTTCTTACGAAATCCATTACGTTTCCGTGCACAGAAAAGACACCACAAAGTTCGAAAAAAATTGAATCAATGTTCATACTGTATGAACTTTCTGAGATATTTACCTTCATTTATTCTTTTTAAAGATCGTGATCTAAATTTACATTTAATTTGATGTCAACAATTTCGTTTGATGAATAGTATTATATTCTTTCAAGGAAGTTGATTTTTATTGCGGGATGACTTTTTGAATCTCTTTGTACCATGAAACTTGTAAGAAGCAACAGCAGGGCAGATGTGAACTGCAGCATATGCTCTTTGGAACACAAAAGAAGAAAGATTTGTCGATGTCTCCGGGTCGAAATTCCAGCTAAGCCTAGAGTCGAGCCAAATCAAAATCCATAGCAGAGTGGATTAATACAAGATTTTATCATAGGCATAATAAGGCAGTTGAATTACAACATAGAGTCGTTTCATAAAATTATTACAAGTTTTCAATCTTTGGTCTTGAAACTAGTAGGTTCTTGAAATAAAAACGCATGCAGCCTTCAGCAACCATAGGCATCTTTATGTTTGATACCAGCTGCAGCAGCGGCTGCTTCATAGATATATGTTCAGTTTTTGAGACAATGCTGCAGAAAAGTATCAAAATCAACTAGAGAAACCAAGACTCAATTCATTTTCAAAAGCAATCATTCTCGAAGCATCCAAAAAGCCACTATTTCACTACTACACAACAATGCAATATCGAAAAGTGTTACCTGACAGTGTAGAGGTTACTTACTTTAGTACAATTGCTTTTGACTGTGTTAGTCGCTGATGGAGGCTTCGGGTGGAACTTCTCTCCATGTTCCATGGCCCAATGATAAATGTTGCTTGCACCATGTTATCTTCCTTAGTGGCATCAAGGCTTCCCTCGGTCAAGGAGAAACCGAAAAGTCTGCATGAGGATGCTAATTCTTGTTTATTCCTGAATGCAGAATCATTTGAATGACAAAATGAATCCATGGTAACGTGATCCCTCCCATGGGAATCATGTCCTCCAGTAGAAGACACCAGTAACTTCGTGCATTTTATAGGGGTGCAAAAAGAACTCACTCCATGATAGTTTTCAGGGTCGTTGAAGTTATGCATAAGATTGAAATTCGGGACCGGATTGCTTGCTTGTTGGAACATTAACACCGACGATGGTGAGGAAATTTGTGTAAATGCAGCAGATGGTTGTATAGGGCTATGAGTATCATAGCCCTGCATCGAGGAAGACCATCCACTTCTAGTCCCTGACAATTTCCCAACACTGGGGACACCAGGACTCTCATTTCCTCGAGTCTCTTCGACAATCGAGGCTTTCCTGTACGGAGAGCTTAAAAAAATTTCTTGACCTTGCAAGACCTTATGGCATTGGAAAGATTCCCCAAAGCCTACAGTTTTACAGGAAATATTAGGATTCACCAGTGGCTCTCTACCAACATTTCCTATTGCAGCAATACCAGAACCATTAGAACTATGAAAGCTGCGTCGTGTTTCAGATCGATGCATGTTGTGACTAGCAGCACTGTCGTAGCAGGGGTTGAAACCCCAAATTTCTTGACCTTGCAAGACCCTCTGGAACCGCAATGGTTCCATAAAGTCGGATGCTCCAATTCCATCTGTTAGAAGAACAAAGGACCAAGTCAAATAATTCTGCAAGACACAGGAAAGAGATTTAGCTATGCAAAAGAACCTACCAGGAACCATAAATCCTGAAGGCAACCCAACCCTGTTCCTTTTCGAACCGGATGAAAGCAAGCTGTTAGAACTAGGAATAAAATCAGATGGTTCAATTTCCCATGGAGAAACCCGGTCATGCTTGTTGGCATCGACATCATCCCACCTTACCTATGAAAATGAGAAAGAACTATTAGATAAGCTCTATTAATGATCCGATAACCCCCGAAACAGTGAGGATATATCAAAGACATTGTATCATAGACTAGTTAGCAGAAAAGAAAACATTCAAAACAACATGTGATGGTCTGCAACTATACCAACAAGCATTTCCATTTTGAACCAGGCCATCTGACAGGATCCAAATCGCTAATTCCGGTTACGAGTCCCGTGTATCTACAAAAACAAAATGGAAAGATTCATTAAGGCCCCAATAGAACTGTGGCCTCAGTCATCCCTCTTGAGGCTAAAAACAATATTATTACAAGTTAAAGAGTTGAAGATTCAATCAGGTCACACCTTCGTTCCGCTGCATCTTCAGTTTCAAACCACATTTTGAACCTCATTCCTGCAGAAAATGAATGATCAAGACTCTTCCAGAATTTATGGACCGGTACTATGAATTCCGATGAACTAGCCCTGCTATACGTCAACAAAAATAGTTTAGTTTCACATGACAACAATAATGAGAACAAGTATCTTTATATTAGATATCAGACGAAGTCAATGAGATACAGTGCTCGTGCTTATGTGAAGACAGAATATAGGAAACAAGTGAGAAATGTCAGCCTAATGTTAACCATTTCAAACCAAGCTGTCATGAGCATATCAAAATGATGTCGAATTGTGTCCATCATTGCAATAAGAATCTGGATTCTGGAAATTGACTAGGAAACATTCGAATTGTGTCCTCAGAATATTGCTCGTCACATATCTGAATGGTGTCGATACTAACGTACCTTGGATTGTAGTAAATGCTGAAAACACTTCTCATTGATACCGCATGAACCACATCTGCAAAGGTGCTGTGGCTCAACTGCTTGCTACACAAAGATGGAAAAGTAGTGTCATTTTTAATTTGTGCAGCTCTTCGGATTCCCAGCCTCAGTTCCCCATCCTCACCCCTGCCAGCAACACTAAATAAGATTCCCAAAAGATATTAATTAAGCCTTCACGAAAGGGAAAGTTTTGAACCTAAGAAAAAGCACAGCATCTCCGGAGACGAGCTTCTTCTTGTTTACAAAAGCACTCCATCCAGTAGTGAGCAAATGCCTCCGTGGTTGCCCTACAAGATCCGAAAATATCTTGGCAACAACTAGAGAAATGAACAGATAATCACGGCCCAGAAGCATCCTTCATTAAATTTAGTACATACCCCTGAAAATGTGTCGAAATCTCCATCTGATGCCGTGCAGATCTTTTGCAACAAGCTCCTGTGATGGCCTCTGCTGATTATAGTCCTATAAATCCAATCAACTTAAACTCAGAAGGCTGTAACATACGAGTACTTCACCAAAACATAATGAATTCTTGAGCATATAGAAACGGAGAAAGTGCAAGACCCTTACCAAGGGTGGGAAGCAATCCTCAGCAGCTCGACGAGGGACGGAAAAGCCTCCATGAGTACTGGTATCAGAAGCAGTAAGGGTCTTGCAGAACATGTGCGGCGTGGTCGACTTGATTTCTGCTACGAAATCCTCCTCGTCACCGTCTACCTCCTCTTTCCCTTGCAACTTCTGCTCACTTTGCTGCATTGCATAATTTACACAAAATCAGACCCAAAAATTTCAAAAATCACCCTTGAAACAAAATGAGAAGTACGTTAAACAACAAAAAGATAAACCGAAATACAAAATAAGTCAAAATCATCATTAGACCATGCTTTATAATTCATAATGATGTAACTATCCTATATCCCCATCGGTTTAAAGGAAATGAAGCACCTAAAGCAACTTGATTGCACAAGCATACATGCATACATACAATACAATGCGAGAAAAAAATAGAATAAAGCTCACCTCAAATTCAGGAACCAGTGAAACTTGAGCATAAACCTCATCTGTGACAGCCTCAGCCTGCCAACAAAAACAAACATTTTCATATCAAATCCACATTAAGAGAAACCCAGATGGAAAACCCACAAACAAAATTGGATTATTAAAAAAAAACTGTAAAGCTTCATTAAACGCAAGACAACAAAAGAACACACAAGAGTGAAGTATTCAAAAAATGTACAGGTAGCTTACAAGGAGCTTGACATCAACAACCCGACAAAACACATGGGGAGGGAGATCATAAGCTGGAGCATAGCCTGAAAATTCGGGAAATTGTTCCAAGTGGCCTTGAGGGAAGTATACCACTACACTTCCTCTCTTCGGCAAAGATACAAGTGGACCGGCACAAGCATGCCAAAGCTCTAAACAAACCGAAGAACTAAAGCCAGAAGCACTTAGCACCGAAGATGAGGATAAAGAATCAGACGACGGCGTTTCATCCTCTTCCGTCGTGTTCAGATCGATTAAACACCCCATTGAGCAGTCAAAGAAAATAAAAGCTTTGGCCTTTGCACTGTAACTGAGTTATACAGGAGAGGATATTTCATGGCTGCATATTTAGAGACTGATTTCCAAAGGTTAAAGAGGAGACTTTGAGTCGAGGCCCTCAAAAAGAAACCAAAAGATAATCCTTTTATATAAGGGATTGATGGGGTTTTAGTTTTTTTCCTAGGTATACAATAAACAAAATTATGAGATTAAAAATTTAAAAAAACAACATTAGGTTATTGTAAATACTTATGATTAGATACGTGCATGTAAGAGTACAATATATACATGTATAAAGGAGTATTGTTTTGGATTATGGAGAAGTAGTTGCTTTTTGATATGAAATGAAAGCTGTACAGCAGCAACTGTTGCTGCTGCAACAAGTCTGACAGACTGCTGCAAGTGATGTGTGGCAGAAAGAGAGAGATGGTGAAAGAGTAACCAGATTTTTCTTTATTAGTTACATTCTAATTATAATATACAGCTAAAATTGTAAAATACCAACTGAAATATATATATATAATCTGGACCCTCCAGTTTACCAAAATCCCACTCCTGTCCTTCCCTACTAATAATTCTCTGCTTTATCAGTATTCCTTTGCACCGATTATACATTATTTCTTGAATATTACAGCTATAAGCTTACTTTCTTGCCTTTGCAGTTTAGCTATACTTTATTTCCCCCCGAAAAGAGATGGGGATGGGATATTACTCAAAATCAACCAAACCTGGAAGAATACCAGAGTTGGCAAGCAATTTCTACTAAAGGGATAACTTCTTTCAGCACTTCAAATCTAGCCTGTATTCCGTCTCAAAAACACCCTTTGTGAAACAAAACCCCACACCATGTTTGTGGTATTTTCATATCTGGAAACAATCGTCTCCAACTTGCCAAGTTGTTAGCTATGATCTATATTTATAAAAGCTGGGTTATATTTTACCTCTAGCCCTTGTGTCATGCATGAGTTGTAGATTTAGTCGTATTTTATGATTTGATCTATTTTAGTTTCTATATTTATTGAATTTTAAAATTTTAATCTTGAATCAAATAAGATAATACCAATAAGATTAAATTAGAAGAATATACAATAATCAACTCGAAGAATAAGAATTAAATTCACAAATTAAATTCGATAAATTTATCGACTATTATTTAGATAATTTTAAATTTTAAGAAGTATAAGGGATAAAAATGATCAAATTACGATACAAAAACTAAATCCAAAAGCTTGTGCATAGCAGAAGAATTTGATATAAAGACTATAGTGTTTGATTTGTTTTGGATTAGTTACGTTATATATCCTCAAACAATTACATTATAGAGCATGAACCAACTTACCTCAATGGTTAAAGGAATCTTTGATGTTCCATTAGAGGTAATGAGTTCAATCACCAGTGGGGTGATTGAGTGTTCATTGTTAAATGATTAAATGACTGAGAGTATTTAGATCATATAATACTTTTTAATCACCTTAGCTTAATCAAAAAAATAATATTAATATAATATTTATCAAGCATGTTTTTTCGTCAATTTAATTAGAAAATAGCTTAACCATGAGCTTAACCTACTAGGCTACTATGAACAACTTTAATTTAGCATGTAAAAAATAAAACAGCCTCCTAATCTTTTACACTATATGTTCCATTTTAACATGTTCTATTTAAGTTACTCATGTTATGGGCATGCATGTGTTTAAAGTTTGATTCACATGTTTTCCATATTGTAAATATGTTCCATAACATACTCGAGCTACGTTTAACTCCTAAATTGTCTATTGGAATACCAAAAGGGCCTAATTGATATAATATTGATGATTTGTAAATTCAATTAGAATATTTTACAAGTTTAGAGATGTTTAGTATAATTTATCCCCTTCTTTCCTTCCATGATACATGCTTTAGGCAAAGTTTTGACTTTGATGTAAAGTTTTGTGGGGCATTATGGTGTTTTGCTACCTTGGGTAAAAAACAATGAGAAATGCAGGACCCATTGTGCCTAATCAAACAGGGAATATGATAATCATGTTTAGAAATGATTACCCTTCTCTAATATGTACATTTAGGATCACAAAAAGAGCTAATCAATGTCTAAGTTGTAAATAGGCTAAATAACAAAATAAGTGCCCAAATTATATTGCTTTTTCTAAATAGGTGCCTAAACTATTTTTTGACTCATCCAGGTGCATAACGTTACAAACGTTACCTATTTAGGTGCCCAGGCCGTAAACGGTGTTAATTTCCCCGTTAAGTGACACATGTCACACTCAGGTAAATTTAATTTTTTTATTTAAAATTTAAAAAATCAAAACTAAATTAAAAAAAAGAAAATACAAATTTTGAAATAAACCTAAAACTTTGAAAACCTTCATTTCAACCCCTAAACCTACGCCGGACATCACCTTTTTTCCGTCAACGAAGCTCCATCCGACCTCCCCTCCCCCCGACGACTAAAATCCCTATGAAATCGTGACCGATTGACGGTCGATCGACGATGAATCGATGTTTTATACTTAGCAAACCCTAAGTTGAAAATCGTAATCCTACACGATTCCGACGACCAATCGACGACAACTACGACGGCGTATGATTAGGAGGATGGCAAGGGCTACGTTAACGGCAATTGTTGTGGCCGGAAAGGGCGCCAACAACAAGTCAAGGTTAGGATTTGAGGTTTTTAAGGATTTAGGGGCTATTTTACAATTTAAGAGAAATTAGAGTTTTTTTTATAAATATAATAATATTAATATTTTTATTATTGTTTTAGAAAAATAAGTTTCAGAATCACCAGATTATGACACGTGTCACTTAACAATGGAAATTAATGTCGTTGATGGCCCAAACACCTAAATGGGTAACGTTTGTAACGTTAGTCACCTGGATAAGTAAAAAAATAGTTTAGGCACCTATTTGGGAAAAGTAATATAGTTTGGGTATTTATTTTGGTATTAAGCCTTGTAAATATTGACCCTCACTCTTTTAAGTTACAACTACAATTAACACATCCTCATACTAATTAGGGATGATTAAAAAAATATGAAATTGATGAATTTTAATTCGATTTGTATTAATAGGGACAAAATTATTTTTAAATTGAAATTAATCAGGTCGAATTTTTTAAAAATAGTTTAAGATCGAAGTTAAGTAAAGCATGTCTTCATTTATTTATTTAATTATTATTTTATAATATATCATTTATTTTTATGATTAAATTTAAATTAAATTGAGTTGTATTAAAACCGGGTAGGTTATGCTTGCTTCCACTATAAAGATTGTATCATGAAGCATTAATGAAAACCGGAAAGAATAATATACCTATATCAAGGATCATGCATGCTACTCGTTTAAGTTGGAATGTTCATTTATATTTATGAAAAATTTAAAAACTTCATAACTAAAAAAATCGTTAAAATATTTATTTTAACCTGGACTTTAATATTTAAGGCTACAAGCCTACAACTTTGTTCAATATATTGTTAGATTTTATGATATATCAATTTTTATAGTATATTCATTATATTCATTTTTAAACAATTTGGAAGACGGAGACTACATGACAAATGAATACAAACGATTTGTATTCAGACTGGATCTGGAAGACGGAGACCACAACACGGAATTGATACAGATTATATAAAAATGAAGAAGAATATGACACAGAACTTAGACTGCATAAGTTGCCAAGGGGAGACGGAATCGATAAAACATGTGTTGACGAAAACGGGTAAAGAAAACGAAAGAACACGAGAATTTTACGAGGTTCGGCAATGTGCTTACGTCCTCGGTGCCTAGGCGGCGCTAGAAGTTTTATTCAATGATATTTTAGGTCTAGGTTACATCTCTATTTAAAATAGAAAACCCTGGTACATAATTACAAAATCAACCCTGTACCGTACCGCGGGGGCTGCGCCCCCACACCCCCAACCCACATAATTCGTAACCCCACAACGAGACTTTTTATGAGCCATACATAACAAATCTCCACCTTGGCGAATATCCTGCCCCTTGGAAACTTCAATGTGGGTTGGGTTACCTTGCTTCTTTAACAACTCGAAACATTCAACAAGTCCAAGCAATGCTTGAACTTGTCTGTCGTAACTGGCTTGGTGAACATATCAGCGGCATTCTCATCAGTATGTACCTTCTGAAACAAAACCTCTCCAGATGCAACCAACTCTCTGATCTTGTGGAACCTTACATCAATATGTTTAGTTCTAGCACGATACACCTGATTCTTAGCCAAGTGAATAGCACTTTGATTATCACAAAGCAACTGAACTCCACCTTGTTGAACACCCAACTCCTTCACTAAACCAGTAAGCCATAAAGCTTCTTTTGCAGCTTCAGCCGCTGCCATGTATTCAGCTTCAGTTGTAGATAGTGCCACGACAGATTGAACAGTAGACTTCCAGCAAATAGGCCCTCCACCAAGAGTAAACACATACCCTGTCGTAGATCTTCTATTATCCAAGTCACCTGCATAATCTGAATCCACATATCCTACAACCAAAGGATTATCCCGCTGACTCCCAAAAACAATTCCATGTCCCACAGTACCCTTTAAGTACCGAAAGATCCACTTGACTGCATCCCAATGTTGCTTACCAGGTTTAGACATGTACTTACAAACTTGACTAACAGCATGAGCTAAATCAGGACGAGTACATACCATCGCATACATCAAGCAGCCAACAGCATTAGAATACGGAACCTTTGCCATATTTTCAGCTTCCTTATCTGTCTTAGGGCACTGTTCTGATGAGAGCTTAAAGTGATTCGCCAATGGAGTGCTAACTGGTTTCGCGCTGCTCATCGCAAACCTTTCTAGCATTTTCTCAACATAACCCCGTTGAGATAGCCGCAGTTTCCTTGAGTCTCTGTCCCTGCAAATTTCCATTCCAAGAATTTTCTTTGCAGCACCTAAATCTTTCATATCAAATTCCTGACTCAATAAAGTTTTCAAACCGATAACATCATCCATGTTCTTCGCAGCAATCAACATATCATCAACATACAGTAATAGAAAAATAAAAGAACCATCATCAAGGCTCTTAACATAGACACAACAATCATACTCACATCGGTTGTAGCCAATCTTGATCATATAGGAGTCAAACCGTTTATACCACTGTCTCGGA